TTAATAAAATTGAATGAAGTAATTTAATAGAATTTATTAATAGATAAAAGTCCATGTTAACCTCTCTTTTCTTTATGTTATCCATACTTTTTATGTTCTCTTAATGTTTTAACTTTTCTCCTGGCCTTCCACCCAAACATGCAAGGCAAAGAATGCAAGAAGTCCAAGATTCTATAGTGGCTGTTGGCAAGGGGGAGGAAGTCACAGTAACTGCCACATCCACTTACATAAGAAGAGAGAAAGGATCCTCAGGGCCTCTCACATATGAAAGAGCCTGATAGCAGGATGTCTACATGACCAAAGGTACTGTCTGCAGCAAACTATAAGTTAAAGCAGTACAACAAAAGTCCAGAAGAGGAAAATTTTATAGTCAGCTGGGTCTTCCACCTCTCTAGAGTATGCTTCTATTGTTCAGAGTTCATTTTTCCAAAAATCAGCTCACAGAAAAGAATACCCTTGCTCCTGGAGTCAAAAGAAAGTAATATTGATGAGTATATGAATGCAGAGTCAAGGCTTGTCCATGAAACAATGTTTACAATGAAGAGGTGTTGGGGAAGGAGAGCAGAAGAGAATTACCAGTCCCACCTGGCCCAGGCAAGGCCAAAGAAAGTAGAAGTCAAGAAGAAACTAAAGAGAATCTTGGACCACATCATTCCCCAGAGAATGCACTCAAGGAACTTCACCTTCACCCTAGGGCTGCAGTTGTGGATCGGTGGTAGAACATTAGCCTAGCATCTGTGGGCAATAGGCTTGACCCTCAGCACCACATAAAATTAAATGAATAACATAAAGGTATTCTGTCTACTAAAACTAAAAAAACCCTCTTTAACTAACACCTTTCTTAATCCTTGAAAACTGCAGGAAATTCACTAATCAGATGAATTTGTATGGTTCCAGAACCACTATACTTGCTCAAACTAGATGTCTTTCTTCCATCTCCAGAGATATTATCTGTACTTGTTAATATAGCAATGTATACACTATTACCTCTTATGCTGTGAAATGTAATTTATAAAATTTTCATAAGATTTTAATGAACATTTAGAAGGAACACTGAGATGGTATCCCTAACACAAGAGCCTGGGGTAGGGGAGCCATGAGGTGAGCCCATTATGTCCTCTTGCAGGGTTTCACCTGTCCAGAACTAAGCCATTAGTTTCTATTATACCTCTCTTATCACCTTCTTCACCAAATCAACTCTCTTGTCATTTTCCACACCCAATCCCACCATCTCCTTGGGAGGCTGACTGCACTATTGGCTATGTCATAACTTTCAACGACCAATTTTGTGACTTCATTCTCCTACCAAACTTATTGCCACCTGCTAGAATCTTAGGATTACCATGCAGTTGTAAACAAATTTGGATTATCACAAGTGACCAGTGACCAGTAACCAGTCATCAGAGTGGCTGGTGGCCAGTGAACAGTGACCAGTGATCTCCATACTGAGAAACAACCTCAGCCACATCAGCATGGATATGTTCTCAAAAAAAAAAATGAGGTTAGTGGGGATAGAATATGGAAGAGAAGCAAAGATTTTAAATCAATAGACAGCGCAGAATGAAATCTTCCCAGATCTGCACAAAATGAGGCTGGTTTAGAGAATGTTTAGAATAACCAACTTGCAAGGGAACTAAGAATTGAATTAGGGTATTACTGGGGTAAGCAGTTTATCAGGAAAGTCACATTTGGCTGATATGGTTTCTCTAAGGCCTCTTGGAACACAGATGATTTTGACAGTTTGAACATTTTAGAAGTATGTTTTAGAAATTATTCTTCATATAAACATGTCATGAAAGTAGTTATATACAGGGCAGGGGCATCAGAATTCTCCATGTCCTACTTTACTCTGATTTTTGAACTACATGGATTTTAAAAAACTGATGTGCCCTAACCTGTATCAGAGGACAAATTCCTTTGTGTGACAGGTAGTTTTGGAGCAGAAGCTATTTTTCATCTTTCCAAGAGTTTTCTTTCTAAAATAGAATACATACAAAGAGTCATTAATGGTATTTAAGCCTAAGAAGCAAAAGAGAGACCTACAGAAGGATAAAAAGTCAAGTTCCACATCTCTAATTCCACATTTATCTAAAATAATTTTGTGAAGTCTTTTTGGTTTTTCTGTATATCAAAAAACTATTGTAGGTTGGAGGAGTAGGTCCATGGTGAAGGGCATGCTTAATATATATGAAGTCTTGGTTCCACTTCCCAGCACCAGTAACCATCAAAAAATTTAGATTTAAATTTATCATTATATTCTATTGGTGATGGTTATTTCAGACTTTAGGGACAACATTTTCCTGTTATAAATGATTATAAACTAGAATTTTAGGACAAATAAAAATTACATGATCATTTTGAAGCATTTTCTTTGCCTCTTTATAACTGAAATGTTTATCAGAAAAATTTTTATATTAATTGAAGTATCTACCTACTGGCATTCATATCCTTAACTTGTTATGGGTAATATTGAGAGGAAGATGAACAAGCACAGTGATAAAATTACATTACACTTCTTGTTTTGTTCTCTATTTTGTAAAAAATTTATTTTTTCTTCCTTCCTTCCTTCCTAACCTCCTAACAGAAGTCTGTCCATGGTTCTTAAAAACTGCTACAAGAAATGCCTTCTCCACAGTTGGAAGGTTCCTTGATTAGTGTGTTTCTGCATAGGGGGAGCATTCTACTTATGATCTTTCTCCATTCCTTCCTTTGCAGTGATGGAAACTTCCTTAGGGATGGAGGTTTCCTTGGGATTGCAAGCTTCCAGTCAGACCTTTTGTCTGCCACAATCTCCAGAATTCCCCAACTGCTACAGTAACAGAAAAAGCCAAATACTCCAGAGGAACTCACAAACTGAATGTGGGGACATTTCAGTAATAACTCCAGTCCAGAGTTCTACTACTTTCTGAGCATCGCCCCCAACTCAAAGCCAGAAACAAATAGAGAATAAGAAACTAAATGAGATTAAAACCATGCTTTCAAAGCCTCTGGATGCCTGCCAGTTTACCATGAAAAACCAAGATCCTCCTCTATTCCCTTTAAATAGCCCTGAAATCCATCAGCTTCTGCCCTCCATTGGTCCTCCGGACCAAAAGAAGAAGCCATACTCTGAAATTATCCATCTGGAAAAGAACAGCCTGAGTCTTGAGGACCAATGCACACTTCAAAATGGGATTAAATCTAGCAGTGGTTTTGCAGACCTCACTGCATTGGTGGGGGATATTCACCATCCTGAGCTTTTCAGTTCCTTGAAAGACTTTGACCAACCTGAAAGTCTCACAATAACAAAATCCAATGACACCAGAGCCATCATGGTGAATCAGAGGCGGGAAAAACTCAACTGTCTAAAAGGGTCCTTGTAATCCAGTGAGGAACAACAAACATAAAGCCTCAGAGTGTCCTGATGGAACTCCACAGGCCAAAATGTAGGCAAGGGACCTAGAGTGCACATTAGGAGGAGTGGCTCACAGGGATGTAGACAGTAGTAGGGCCCCTGTGCACACAGCCAAGCACTCTAACAGCAAACCTCAGAAATCTGCATCCAGCAGGAACAGCAAGGCTAAGGGCCATGAGCAGGAAAAGACCAAGAGGAACAGAGAAAACAACTCCAGGAAATCCCAGGAGAGGAAGCAGCCAGGCAATAAAGTCAAGGCAGAAGAGAAGCCAACCATGCCGAAGATGAAGCAGAAGAGAAACCAACCTAAGCTTTACCAAGAGACCTTTAAAAAGCTGAGGGGGGGGGGGCTGAGTTGTACCTCAGTGGTGGAACGCTCACTTAGCACATGTGAGGCACTGGGTTCTATGTTCAGCAACACATACAAATTAAAGGAAGATGTTGTGTCCATCTACAACTAAAAAAATGTTTTAAAAACATTAGGAAAAATGAGTTACTTTGGGGATTATGCTCAATGGGAGCAGATGAGCCTGGTTCCTATCCTAGGAGCTCTACTTCCACAAGAATAGCACTTGCACAATAACAGCATCCACCTGCTGGACTCATTCACTGTTATATCCCTAACATTAGAAACAGCTATTCAATTAGTATTTATCAAAATGTTGAATTGACTGGATTTTGTCCTATACTGGCTCCTGCAAGGACCTGACCCATACTTTATGCCCTCTGTTTGACCAGTATCTCCAATGCCTCCATTTCTTTAGGCAAAACACTATATTCATATTCTGAAGGGAAAGAGTCAACAGAGAAGTAGATGGGTACTGTTTACCTTAGGTATGGTCTACGATGTGCTGTGTACAAGTGTCTTCCCAAATTCTTCTGCAAGGGATCCATAAGTTAAATAGTGAAGCCTTGCATTGGTATGCATGTTAGTGTGCATTGGGGATGGGAGGGTGACCTATAATGTGCTTTCAGTCATTTTAAAAGCCAGTGACCACACAGTCACTTTAGAGAAGCTTAATTATGGCAAGGGTTTTCTGGCTGGGGGTGGCAATATAACCCCAAAAGATATATACACAATTATGTTTGGCAGAAAAAAGGCACTGGATGATCTGGTAACACCTGAGCTGGATCTTTAAGTTATACTTTGACAAATAAGTTACCATAGAACAAGCTCCCAGGGAGCTCCCAAATAAATTTTCAGAAAGTGTCCACCGAGTTAAGCTTTAAAACAAAGCATAAATTTTCAAGGTGGTGACATACAAAGTCTCCTGTGGCAGGCCTGCTGAACCTTACTGGAAAAAAGGTGTGTACATATTCAAACATATGCATACCTACAAGTAGAATGTGGCACTCTATTTGCACTTGGGTATATAAACACCCTGTCCTGGTTGCAGGGGCAGGAACTTTATCATGTAGGTGTCTTTGTGAAACCATTGCTTTTGCACTATTGAAGCAGGCCAGTCATACCCACCCAGAAGACCCTTGCCATAATTAAGCTTCTCTTTGTCAGATCAGCAGGAAGTCTGCAGAGGATATTGAGGTTGGTAATTTCTTCTTCTTCTTTTTTTAATGTCAGGTTTGCACACAAAAGGTGTGACAGAGTAGTCTGAAAGCTTCTTATTAAAAAATGATTTTTATGTTTTCTTGGTAAAAACTTGTGAAACCTGTATCTATCTAGAGGATAGAATGACATTCCATGGTATTTGAACCTCCTACCCCACCCCACCCTACTCCCACCGGGTAGAAAATTAAAGGAATTTCTATCATCTGTTTTCAGAGGAAGAATTCTTAGGCTCAAGCCACCTCTGAACCCTGCAATTAATAAATCTGGTTCCTGAGAATTCCTTAGGTATCTGGCCTCTTCTGTCTTAATTCACCATAACACTTTCAACACATCTTATAGGTATTCTTACAGTCTTACATTCTCTTCTAACCAATAACTTATTCCCTCCGTAATACCTCACGCTACATATTTTGTGTAGAAAATTAAACAAGCTGAAAACAAATACAATGTCCTGGGTTACAATCCCTGATTCGTTTAAGAAGTCGGCTAGTTTACTTGAATTAGCAATCCCTCTTTGAATATGAGTTTTATGTGAGTGTAACAGAGGGGATATGTCTTGGGAAACACCTACCCAAAAGCAAAAAAAAAAAAAAAGGAAGTCAGCTTGGTCACTGCTTTTTTTTTTTTAACTACTGGGGTCCACTTTCTTCTGGTTCTATTTTCCTTTAAAAGCTAGGTGCTGCAGAGCTTGCTCATCATTGGTCAGATTTTCCAGAAGTTGATTCTAGCCTCATTCACCACCTTCTCAACCCTGGTCCTAAATCCTTGAGAATATAATTGACAGATGGATGTTAGTGGGCATGTCGCCAGGCATCATCCTGGAGGAAAGGAGGTAAAGGGTCTTGGATGTGGTGGGTAGGAATTTTGAGCATGGGACTCTGAAAGGAGCAGCTGCTGTATGTCCTCTACACTGTCCACTGGGCACAAGGCCATTTAAGGTTCTGGTCTTCTTGGGTTGTTGCCTGACCAGCAAGGTCCAGCACTATCCTGGCTATTTCATTTGAAAGACCTAAAACCTTAGGTGATTTTGCCTGGGAATGGCAATTTGGGCTTGAGTGCCTTTAGGAAGGGCACTCCAAGCACTTGTGGATGCATTGTTCTCTACTGTAAATATCCCCTCTGCTGATTCCTGCTGCTTCCTTTCACCGCCTCCACAATACAGTTTACCAATGAGGCAACTTGGGGAGGTTTTAGATTTGCAAGGGGCTTTGTGGGAGATGCAGTGCCTCTGCATCTCTAGCAGTTCCCCAGGTTTTCATGACCATGAGAGGGGTTTAGAGGGAATGTTTTATGAAGGAAATGTGACCTGAATATTGAGGAAACCACGTGAGAGAACTGGCCTAGAAATGACTAACTCTAGGGAAGTGTTGAGTAGAAAACACAAAGGGTGGCTACATAAAAGAAGCAAAATGTGCGGATTCCCAGGGGCATTGTAGTAATGACTGAAGCAAAAAAAAAAAAAAATGTTGAGAAGGAGTAAGATGGAATTATGGACTCTGGCTCTAAATTACAAGATAAATTGTATAACTTGTACATTCTAGAGAGTGCTGGCTAGGGAATACTACAGTTCAATACATGTCAAATACTCACTTTTCTTTTGGAGGCTATGGAAACTAATGAAATTCTTAAGAAAATCTGGAGTCTAACAGCAAGACTAACTGGAAAGATTGAAAATTACTGGAGTTTAAGACACAGGGAAAGAAAACTTCCAGACTGGGAACTACGCCTCTCCCCCACATTCAAAACTACTTTGTGCCCTTTTGTTATTAAATGAGTGCTTAGTTTTTGAATATAAATAAATTGTTATTTTAAGATCTAAATTCCAAGCTGATATGGTGGTACCTTCCTGAAATCCCAGCCACCCCCCCAAACCACACCCCTGCAAAAGCATTTGATGACTGGGATATATGGTCACAACAATCAGTGGCACAAGAAATATGAATTGGTTCCACTTATAACTAGAACTAAAAATAATGTTTCTCAAACTGGTTTAAAAAGTAAAGTAAAATTCAGCTGGGCCTGGTGCCTGTCATTACAAAGTCCCAGGAGACTCGGGGGAATCACAAATTTAAGGCCAACCTCAATAACTGAGCAAGGCCCTGAGAAACTTAGTGAGATTTTTGTCTCAAAAATAAAACATCAAATGGGCTTGGAATGTAGCTCTGTAGTAAAACATGCCTGGGTTCAAACCTTACTTAAAAAAAGAATTAAATACCTTGCCATGAAAATGAGGCACAATGTTTTAGACTGAAAGCAAGAGTGGTTTAGTGAGCAGTAATAATCAGACAAGTTTCCCTAACCAAGTTTGGACACAAATATGAAAAAGTAAAGCACAGAAAATGTCAGTTACTAGGTTAAATTAAAATGACCACACATGAAGTCACTTAACAATCCTCCTGTAAGTTCACCAAATGTGCTCTTTCAGGTACTAGGATAAATGCAAGTAGGTAGCTGTAAAAGATAAATGATGGAAGATATACAAGGTACCATACCTACTTTTATGATGCTCTAGGCAGAGCAACTTAATGACAGCGAATGACTGACTTGAAGGTTAGTAGAACTGAATCCACCTCGGCCTGTTCTCATGATATTCATTAACCTAATTTTGCTACAAGGATTGTAGGTGTTTGAGTATGCCAATACTCTCATCATGATTTGAGCTTTCTTGATGTTCTCCACCTTCTTGTAGGAGACAGACCTGATTTGATAAAATCCACAACATATTTTTTTCTTTAAATGTTTTCAAGTAGAAGTTCGTGAGGTAAACACACTTTGTACTAGAATGGGATGATGTTGGTCTTCTTTCTAATGCCATCTGTTTTCTCTTTTGTGTCTCTGAAATTCTTGGTCCTCACGTTTGACCATGGAGATGTGAACCTCCCACAAGAAGGCCAGGGGAAGACTCTGTCCTAGTTGGGGAGTACCCAGGAGGTCAATGAAGACATTCTACCCGGTCGATACTTTCCCACCTTACCTAGGTCATCCACACACCTTTCAGAGTGCACCAAAAATGCAAAGCCAGCTAAGCCACCAGTGGTGGACACATCCCTGAATCCTTGAGCATTGAGCAACTCTAAAAGTAATGAGTCCATTTGCTATTATCCTCTTCTATTTTTTTGCTGCCAGTGTCATTCTGGGGGATTCATCCCAGGACTGCCTCTGTGATCCCACTTACCAGGCTTTGATAAGGGAACGCCCTTGGATAAGGACTGCCATACTCTGTTCTGTTACACTGGCTATCTTGTAAAAGAGGCCTTTGTTGAAACCATACAATTCAGCTGAAGCCAGGTGAATTTTCTTAAAAGCTGGTGCTATCCTTGAAAATCAAATACTCAGGGCTGGGGCTATGGCTCAGCGGTAGAGCACTCACTTAGCACAGGTGAGGCCCTGGGTTCAATCCTCAGGACCACATAAAAATAAATAAATAAAATAAAGGTTAAAAAAAATAAAATCAAATCCTCAGCTTTTAAGGTTATTCAGAGATTTAAATGGTCAGTGAATTAGAGATCAGCATTGGCTTTTGTAAAAAAAAATCGCTAAATTTCTTAGAAATGCTATGGAAAGTAGTAGTTTACACTTGTCTTACCTTGACTAATTAAAGCCTACCCTTTTCTTGAAGCATCAAGAGTATGAACTCAAAAGTCCAAAGGTTCCGATAAATCAGATGTGGGTGAGACTCAAGACACAATTCATCCTTCACCAGCTGTGAGCCTGTGAAATGAATACGTCACATGCTTCCAAAATACAAAGGTGGAACAGGTATAGGACGGTCAGTCCCCCATTCCAAAAGGGAGGAACAAATGAAGAACTGAGTGACTGGAGCAGGCATGGTAGCACATGCCTGTAAGCCCACTACTGGGGAGGCTGAGGTGGGAGGATTCTCAGGTTCAAGGCCAGACAAAAAAAGGGAAAACATTAAGTCATAAAGTTGGAGAACAATCTCTTTTGATTCCATGTCCTGCACAGGTGCACACTAAGACAAGGGTTGGATCCTCCAAGGCCTCATACAGCTCATTGCTATATTTTTGCTGGGCTCACTTCACCCAGCAGCTCTCAGAAGTTAGCAGTTTGCCCTCATCTTGTCCAGACCGGAATTGTTGGCTGATGGCTCTTTGGTTCTAGGGTCTTGAGGGGCTGCCCTACTCCTACAATGCCAAGTCATTGCCCCAAAGGGTAGTCTCTTTGGTGGCTCTGATCCTGGTCATGCCTCCGACCATGCTCTCAGGCTTTCTACAACATACTCTGAAATCTCGGCAGAGACATATGGCTCATATAATTACAGAAGAAGAGAAATCTCACAGAAGCCTTTTTCCAAGATGGAGACCCTGCAATGCTGGTCATGTGGCTCAGTCGACATCCAAAACCCTCAGAACCAAGGAAGCTAATGGCATAATTCTCAGCCCAAGTCCAAAGACCTGAGAATCTAGGAGTCACTTGGTGCCAGTCTTGGAATCCATCCTCTAAAATGAACAGATTTTATTTCCCAGGGGCAGAAAAAGACGAGTGACTTACATCTGCCTTTCTTGTGTTCCTATGTGGGCCCGAAGCCGAATGCATTGTGCCCACCCATATTGAGGGTAGATATTCCCCACTCATTCTGTACAACCACACATCAGTTTCCTTCAGAACACCCCTGAAAGTCTCACCCAGAAGTAATTCTTTACCATGTTCCTATTCCTTAATGCAGTAAAGCTGATACCTAAAATTAACCATCACATCTCCTAATGAGCTCTGGCTACAGGCTGCAGAAGAGACTTTACAACACATTTTTGATGCCATTAGAGTGAGATGTCCACTCAATGTCTGAAGTTGCAGGGATTCCAGTGACTTAGCATTGCTCTCCCAGTGCTAGCAGCTGTGAGGTCTGCTTGGAATGATTCAGCCTCATGGTCTCAGACTCTCCCCTCTCCAGTCCAGTTCCTACAATCCATGGATTGTGCCATGTGCAGGTGCCCAGGAAGCTGTGTCAACAGTTTCTCCAGTCAGCCAGTGCCAACACTGCTCAGGGAGTAGAAACACATGGAATTCTCTGTGGAAAAGT